GATGTGAAGTACACAAATGTATTTTCCCTGATTCCAAGGTTATCTATTGCATCCATGATCTGCCCTACACTCCAATCCATCTCTTCAACATTATCCCCATATTTACTATGGCCACTATGACCTTCAAAAGCCTTCGTTGTGAACAAGGCTGTGTGGACCTTTGCATATGACATGAATAACATGAAAGGTGTGCTTGTATTAGTATTAGCTTGAACGATAAACTTGATTGCTTCATTTGTGAATTTAACAGTTAGGTTTTCTAACAAAAATGGTTGTTCTACAATCTGAAAGTTTCTCATTAAGAAACAATCTGCTTTTCTCCACAAGAAAGGAATTTTTTTTAGTGGAATACCTGAATACAAGTGGGTGGCTAAGGACGCAAGAAGAATAACAAATAAGGAGAAAATCAAAAGCGTTTTTCGTATGTCCAGGAAATGGCTTGCAAATATTGTAAATAATATCGAAAAACAGGTAGGCGAAAAGGAGTGAATCCAAAAGGTGGCATCAAACTCAAACTGCATCACGTTACACATATTAAGATTGCTTAATGGGATTCCATAGAAGAATTGAAATCCATGCATTAATGGAAGATAGTTAAAGTCATTGACAAATCTCTTGTTGAAGCCAAGGTGCCATTTGCCAATCAAACCTGTCAAAGAAAGATTATGGTAATTAAATATGAATGGAGAAAGAGGCTCATCAATGATGTCACACTATGTAACATGGCCGCTACGAAACTAAAGTATAACCTAGATGATTGTCTACGCTTAAGAGCATTAATAAAAATATGATATATTATTCTACCTGTCTTGTAGCCAATACTTGCAAGTACTTTAGCAAAAGTGGTTTCATTTCTTGGTAATCCACCAGGGGCACTAGTGTACAGCAATACTCGTGCTTGGCCAGGCTCAGCAGCTAGTCCACTACGAACTGCATATCTTCCTGTCAGGAATGAAGCTCTGCTCGGGGTGCAAATAGACTCTCCAGCAAGATTATGAGTGAGTCTTGCTCCTTCTGATGCCAGCTTGTCGATGTTTGGAGTCTTGATGGAATCATTACCAAAACAACCTAGATCAGCTACACCAAGATCATCTACCATGAAAATCACGATGTTGGGTCGACTCTGCTCTCCAATGGCGGTATCTACTAATAGAAATACTAATACGAAAGCTAAAAGCATGAAGCCAGCAGAGAGAATGCACGATGCCATGTTTTAATTAATACCTCCTGCGACAGAACGGATCACTAAAACAGAGACAATGGCATGTCACGCCAGTATCTGTCGTGTCTAGCACATGGCTCAATAATTGTCACTGTCAGTCAAGCGTTCAACGCAAAACCAAAGGTATAGAAAAACTATAGAAAAACACAGATCAGGTACATGATCGCGGAGGGATGTCGTTGCTCAAAAATTCCTTTTGAAATAAATGTTTGGTATTTCTTTCTTTGGAAGACACTATCGCCAAGTTTCTTTCCGACCGTTACTCCTAAGTCTTAGGATATAAAACTGAGGCCTCAAATTTCGATTTTATGTTTACCCATCGCAGGCGACAAATCGAGTTTGCTGGTCCATAGCTCAGTCATTACAGTCTAGGGGCCGACTAACCTCTCCCTTAGGCTTCGGCCGAGCCTTCTGATCAGTCTGTAATAATTATTCTTCGTATAGCGGTATCCGGGTCGAAATCTGCGGCGTAGCTGTAAATGCTTTGCGCTGCCATACAACGGTTCAGCACTCGATGTCTGGAAGTATGGTCCTTTATGTAATGAATCAAAACAAAAAACAAAAAATTCGAGGTTGTGATTATGGTCTCTTGTTATTTTTAGTAAATCAATAAATATAATAATCCATTCTGGCAATCGCATAAATTTTAAAGGTCTGTATTATTGTGCTTTTATTAATCTCATCAATATTTCTATCCTTGTAATCTCTACTAATCTAAACTGCATATAATTTTTGGGAATTTCTCTTTTGTTGATTTTTTTCAATAGCGCAGCGCGCTCATTCTAAAAATGGCTTAAAGATTCGGACAAACATTGCATTCTGTTTAACTGCTACGAGGATTATTCGAACCGATTTTATTATTTTTACTTAAAGTTACAATAATAACCCATGTAAACTAAGATCAACTGCGATCGGCTGTGAAAATTATCTGCTGAAAGTAAACTTGTAAGTTTGTTTGTCCGAATTTCGCCTTTGTCTTCGTTTTTATGACGTCACGGCTGCGCTGCGCTATTGCCAAACAGAAATCTATTGAACGATCCAACAAAGCAAAGTGACAAAACCTTATTGTCACATTAACATTACGGTAATCCGGGTTTCTGGCCCCTCCCCTTGGACGTTAACATTACGGCTCCTGTCAAAGTGGAAGAGAAAGGTTGAAATCGGAAGAAATAATAAGAAAGATTCAGAAACAAGCAAAAAACACCATAATCTTGAATGATTGCAATAAATTTATTGAATGAAGAATTCCATTACAGTGATCATCCTAATATAATCTATAACATCCTGTAACGACAGGTCTCTAAGTTTTATAGTCCGAAGTAGCTTTTGCATTAAATTAAGAGGAATTTAACATTGTTAAATAATCTCTGCATTATTACAGGAAATTGGGGAGGGGGAGAGTAAGGTAAAGACCTGTCTGGCTTTGACATTGGTTCAAGACGAAACGGAGGATAGAGTGTTACTGTCATTGATTCTTCGCTCAAGTAATGACTCAATTTCTCATTTATACTGGACAGTTGTCCATCCCTCTGGGTCACCCTCTTGGCCAGGAGGACGGTCACGACCACGCCTAGATGCCGACCAGGATTTTCCTACAAGATAAAAAGATGCCCAATGAGCGGAAATGGGAAAAATCATATGAAAAAGACTATTTGCTAATAAATGTCACATGTGGGATAAAGCTCATAGCAGGAGAGCCAACAAGCATGGCAATCCTGGGATTTAGAATCCACTTGTTCTATCTCTATGCCTCTATTGCTGTGGCAATAAGAATGCACACAACTCGATATAATGCAAAGAGAATGATGATTTTTTTCTTCTGTGCTTTACCTTCTGGGCGTGACTGGGCACGGCTTGGCTCATCCTGACGATCATCACGTCCACGCCAAGAATCACGATCACGTCCATCACGATCACCTTCTGGTTCTGCTTCACGATCGCGAGAGCGCCACTGACTTCCACTTCCACGACCCCTGTCAAATCCACCACGATCACGATCAAAGCCACCACGATCACGGTCACGCTCCCCACCCGACTCGCGCCAACTACCACCACCACCAAAACCACCTCTATCACCACGATCCCGGTCATATCCCCGGTCTCGATCAAATCCCCGGTCTCGGTCAGACCCCCGGTCTCGGTCAAATCCCCGGTCTCGGTCAAATCCCCGGTCTCGGTCAAATCCCCGGTCTCGGTCAAATCCCCGGTCTCTGTCAGGCCCCCGGTTTCGATCAAACCCACGGTCCCTTTCATATCCGCGGTCTCCGCCTCTATCACGATCACGCCATGAACCACGATCAAACCCTCCGTCACCACCCCTATCACGACCATAACCGTCTCTTCCACCTTCATCTCTACCACCACCACCTCTTCTCCATGGTCCAGAATCTATATCGTCCCTGCGAATATCCCTGTCCATGTCTGCAAGTAAAACAAGATGTAATAGGCATTAGAATATACATACTAATGCTCTATCACAAATCCTGCACTTTGATTGGCTGAGCTACTAGTAGTCTTTTAGCTATAGTCCACTTGTAGCCAAAAGTGCGGTTTTGATGAAAACCAAAACAATGGCGGCTAACTCGCATTTTCAACCTTGTTTCAAAATTGTTGATATCTATTTATTTTTCTATTTTTTTTTGGACCGTAAAGTAAGTTTAGACTAAAATAATTAAACTTCTCGCCTTCATAGTCTCCAAGTCAATACCCCAATCATGGGCTACTGATTCATAGAATTTGCGCTCGTATACATGCGAACACCCTAAATGACAAGTTATCAGTGAAAGACCCATTTTGATATTCGTTCTTGAGGAAGGGAATAATCTATCCTTTTTTTACCTCTTCTAACGTAGTCATCTCTAGGTCTTTCACGGTCCATGGGTTGTCTCCAAGGCCCAGATTCCTCACGATCAAGGTCACGGTCACGGTCACCACGACGTGGGCCACCTGATCAAGGAAGACAAATTAAAGTTAATCGGTACCCGCCACAGTGGGGCCGCTCTGCATGGGAAGACTTCTCCGGAAGATTCTCTACACTCTATGTATGACTCTAAAGTATAGTACCAACCAATTGGAAATAGTTAGGATTTGTTTGGGTACGCTTTGAGCGTGGTTTAATGAAAACAAAGAGAACAAGCTACCGCCAGGAATATAAGATGGAGCTCAGTTATGACTGGAGACGTACGAGTCGTTTTCCCATAACATGGCCCTCCCCCGTCCCCCTTCTCCCCTACACACGATATTTACCTCCACGATCCATACCACCTTGTTTTTCCTGTTTCTTTTCATTATCGTTTTTTCCTCATCAATTTTAGTGTTAATCATGTTTGTACTGTATGTAAATTGTATGGAGAGGGAATATCAATTGGGACGAAAGTTCTGTTTTCTTCGCCAGTCACAAAATTTGTATGTCTCAAATTTTATAAAATGTATATGTTTATATTGTGACAAATAAACTAAACTAAACTAAACTAACCCCTCCATGGTCCCATATCACGATCACGTGGACCATCACGGTCACCAATACCACGATCACGGAAATCACGATCGCTATCACGTCCACCACGTCTCCATGGCCCTTCACGTTCCTCCTCTCTCCAACCTAAGATTAGAATAAAATATTCTTAGTTATAATCACAAGATGAAATATCCTATGACCAGTATTTTCACTCAGTGTTACGCGCTGATTGATACAGGTTAATGAGCATTACTAGTAGACTTCCCTTCAATACGAAAAGATCATTATATCACATGCTTTCAGTTCGACCTCGTTGAACTGCGCCACTGCTGTACTTGCGGTGGTGATAAGCGATGACGAGTTTGTTTTTTGTTTCTGTCTTTTTTTGGTTTTTAGACTAAGTATGAAGGTTAAGGTAATTTATTATACTTGCTCTCTACTACAGGGTGTGGTTGCCGAATTTTCCCGAGCAGAGGTTTTCGTTAAAAGCGTTCGAAGGTAACCCTTTACCCTTAAAGGTACTGTAGTCCATGGGACGGTACATAGGAACGATTTCTTTTGATTGACTAGTCTGATAGTGTTGCCGTTACAGTCAGCGCGTAGCAATCAAAACAAAAGACACATGATAATAGTCTAGTAATAGTACTAACCCTTACCTCTTACAGGTGGTAGCTTGTCTTGTTCTTCAGGTTCATTACGTCCTTCTGAAGCCAAACGCTTCTCAATCTCCGCTTCTCTTTCTCGTTGTTTCCTGGCCTGCTCCTCTAGTTTAGCTGCTCTTTCGTTGTATTCACGCTCCCTGGCTTCTCTTTCTTCGCGCTCTTTTCTTTCCTTCTCTTCTTTTTCTGTCAGAGAAAAATGGAATAAATGACATGCATAAAACAGTGGGTTTCATTCGGTAAATCTGTGAACCTATTCATGGTTCCCATTATCCCCCCTCACACAATAGCGAAACAATAGGTTTCGAAGTACATATTGAGATGAAAATTAGAGTATATAGCCGATCTTTCAGTGTCGATCGGACACCATTATCAAGCGACTGATCAAAAATCTTAGTTAAAAAAACACAACTAAATGGGAATGAATTAGCAATTGTTCAATTACGGTAACTGGGGGAAGGCAGGACCCTCAATAGAATCTTTGCATATAACTTTGGAGGACAAAACAAAAGAATTTCAATCTCCTGAGAATTGGAAACGTTATGTCCTCCAAATTTTAAAAGCTGCATTACAACGTGCAGTAAGGTGTCTATTGGACTCAACCAAGGCACAAAAGTTTCGTAGTCTTACCTTTACGTTCCCTCTCCTCTTCTTCCCTCCGCTTGGCTTCTTCTATTTCACGTCTCTTCCTCATCTTCCTTTCCTGGATGCGTTTCATTCGACGCTCATGCAAGCGCTCTTGACGCTTCTGCTCAACCATTTCATCAAATTGTTTGAGTTTTGCCTTCAGACGAGGACGAAAAGTTTTCAGTAATGCAACTAGACTCTGTACTAATGACACATTAGAGTAAGTAGTTTGCTGGTCTCTAGTTTGTAGCAGATTTAAGGTGAGGTCACAAGGTGTTCATGTACACCAAGGATGATCCAGGGGTGTGTTTCCCCCTGTCATTCGTGGGGTTCAATAAATTGTCTTCTTTAGAAAATTTAGTTTTGCCACAGGTTGGAAGTAAATCTTGTATGAAGTATACATTCAGGGCTGCCATAGTAAAGGAGCATCGTAAAAGGAGGTCATTCCAGTAAATTTTGCATGCCATTTTATCATTCATTTGGCAGTGCATCTTTATTTTCGCCTGGCAAACCTGAAATTTGTCCTTTCATTTGGCCATTGGCAGGCTGCTATTTCGAGCCCTGACATTGGACCCCCTTAAAAAGTCTTGGGTCTGTCATTGTACCCCCCTTTCTAGCCTGAAAGTAGTTGCTTGGTTGGTTGTTGGTTGGATGGAACATGTTAACTTAGAAATGTTTATCTATATTTTTGTAAGAAACTTGAAACATTAAATATGTAAACTGCTATATTTGCTTCCCCATACCTGATAAGCTTCATTACGTGATCCCATCAAAGATTTAAGGAACTCATCTTTATCTCCAGCCATTCTTCTTAGTCTCTGACTGGTTTCAACAAGCTTGTCATGTTTTACAATTGCTTCATTGATCTACAAATAGAGTGGTAACCAGTAAGTACTGCTTATTCAACATTTTTACAACATTAAATCAAGGGTGCTGTAGTGGTAGTCAATTGCTTCTTCACTCTGGGGTGTCAGGTTTGATTCCCAGACTATCCCATCACATGTAAGTAGAGTTTGTTAGGTCTCTCCCTTGACTTGAAAGCTTTTCTAGCTTTTTTATACAAATATTGAAAAACTTACTTGATTCTGATTGGCTGAAAGCAGTGGTGTTAACCAACAATGCAGCAGAAAAAAGTAATTCATACTGCAGTAAAAATTAAAAATTGTATATTTTTTACATATTACCGCCATTTGCATTACTTTGCGGCCACCCCAGATAAAAATCTCGACGTGTACTTTGCAATAAACTGCTGTCAATCGAACACGCTGACGTAATTGTGCCAACCCCCTATGTGCTAATAAATGAAAGCCCCCTGAACGTACCCTCTTCTCTTCCTCTGCCTCCCAGAATTCTTTGTCAGCTACCAGATGTTCCTCATACTGCTTCTTGAGTAGAGGGATTTCTTCAAGGCGCATGGCACGAGCCCAGTAATCAACCTGGAATGGGAAAATAATTGATTGAAAATATTGGTAAACATATTCACAACCTCTAAATATCAATGGACTACTTTGACCATACGGCGGCCATCTGGCCAAGGGGCAAAACAAAACAAAGATGATGGGAAATATATAGAGTTTCAGGTGTTTTTCTCTTATGGGTAAAGGTGATTGAGGTGCTGTCTTAATTAATCATTTGTTGTGTTCTCTCTCTGTGGTAAGCTGTTAATATCAATGGGCGTCATTACTGTAACAAAGTGTCATTTGCCCCCTGGACGCCCCATAATGCCTTGCGATCCAAGATGGCCACCGTATCATTGAAGTAGTCCATTGTATGAGTGGTAGAAGAGCCTCATCAGCAGTACAGACCCACCAATCTCACTGTCTACATTTACATTACCTACCTTCTTCTCCTGTGTCTTGAGCTTTGTCTGGAGCTCACGTTTCTCTTTATCAAGTTGTTCTACTTGGCGTGCAATAATATCATCTGGATTCATAGCATCGATTTCCTAGGATAGCATTATGAAACATACAAGACATCAGTAATGAATAGGATAAAGCAATAAATAAATAATCATAATTTGAGTGGTTGGGTGCATCAGTTTATGGGTGATGAATGTTGTCCTCACCACATTTGGTGGTTGTTAGGATTTTAAATTCTGTAGTGATCATCATCTGCACCCAACCACTAATACAAGCTTACGATTCATCATGAATGTATGCGATTGCCATATGAAAACCCATTATCCTGCTATGAAGTCTACTTAAAGAACTAGAATTGGGTCTCACGTAAGTTTAATTGGGAGAGAGCTGCCATAGAAGAATTGCTATATAAAACTAATTTTGATCTGGTCCCTTTTCATAATGGGAGGTTCTTACATAGCGCATTTATACAATATCTCAATGCGCTTTACATTTATGTCCAGTGGAGGACTTTATGGGCTGCATATTAATGTAAATGGTGTTTTACTGTAATTTTACAATCTTTTTAGGTTAGTTGCTATAAACCTTAACTTTGATTAAATACAAAGAGCATTTACTCTGATGAACACCCTTCTCACCTCGGGAGTTAGATCCTTCAGAGCTTTCGCACCAACAGTAGTCTTCTTCAAGGCAGCTATCTTGTCCATTGCCTGTTTCTTTTCTAAGTCTTGCAGCTCCTGTCTGCGACGTTGGATCTCTCTGTGCCGTCTCTCTTCATCCAGTCTGTTTTGTTCTGCTTGTAGACTTTCAGCTTGTTGTTGTCTCTGACGCAAATGTTCCTGTCTTTCCTGTTAGTTGACAAAATTCAGCAATGTCATTTACCTATTTTCTGCCTTTCACACAAAGTCACCAAATAAAGGGTTTTTTTATTAAGGTATTAGGATACGAAAAATGACGAATTGCCCGAAAAAAATTTTTCTTTTTAATTTCGTAATTTTAAACTTTTGTCTTTCATATGTTTGTGAAACTTCTTGCAATTTTTGATTGGAAAAGCCAAAATTTTGAGAAAAATCGAAATC